TTATCCGGAAATCCGTACTCGTGCATAATCTGCCATAGCTGATCTCGATCGATTGTGTCGTATGCGGATTTGAAATCGATGAACAAATGATGTGTGGGCACGTTGTATTCGCGGCATTTCTGCAGAACCTGCCGAATCGCGAAAATTTGGTCCGTGGTAGCGCGGGCACCCATGAATCCCGCCTGGTATTGCCCCACGAACTCTCTTGCATATGGTGACAGACGGCGGCATAGAATTTGGGAGAGTACCTTGTAGGCGGCGCTCAGCAGTGTGATCGCGCGGTAGTTGCAGCAATCCAACTTGTCGCCCTTTTTGTAGATTGGGCATACGACACCTTCCATCCACTCCTCCGGTAATATCCCTAGCAGCACACATGTCACTGAACAACTGTGGTTACTTGTGTGCCACTTATTTCAGTCACAATCAAGTTGCAGCAGCTTATTTCGATCGAAGTGTGCTGCTTGGGATCTCCTCCTCCCAAATCTTGGCAATTACCCAGTGCAGCGCTCTAGCCAGTGCTTCACCACCGTATTTCAATAGCTCACTTGGTAGTTGATCTACACCAGTTGCTTTGTTGTTCTTCAGCCGACCGATCTCCTCCTCAACTTCTTGAAGATCAGGGGCCGGTAGCCTGTCGTTTTCTGCGCGTGCTCCAAGGTCTGTTGCCGTGCCACCTTCGTTTTCTGCTGCTTCACCGTTGAGGTGCTCGTCCTCTCAATCACCTCACACTCGTTCGTGAGAAGGTTACCGTCCAAGTCCTTGCACATATCGGCTTGCGGCACGTAGCCTTTGCGCGAACTATTTAGCTTCTCGTAGAACTTCCGTGTGTCGTTTACGCGGTACAGATTTTCCATCGCCTCGCGATCTCAGTCTTCCTGCTGACACTTCTTCCTTCGGAAAACCGAGTTTTGTCTGTTCCGCGCTTGTCTGTATCGCTCCACATTCAATCTCGTGCGGTGTTGCAGCATTCTCGCCCGTGCTGCATTCTTCTCCTCTACTAACAGTTTGCATTCGCCGTCAAACCAGTCATTTCTTCGGTCCGGGATTGCAGTACCTAGTGCCGCTACAGCAGTACTACCTATGGCTGAACGGATGGCTCTCCAGCCATCTTCAAGAGAAGCTGCGCCAAGCTGCTCTTCCGTGAGTAGTGCAACTTCCAGCTGCTGCGCGTAGTCCTGGGCAACTCCGGTGTCCCGTAGTTGCTCAATGTTGGGTCGTGGCGTTCGACTTCGACGTGTGTTATGCACCGTCGAGAGTTTTGAGCGCATGCATACTGCAACTAGGTAGTGGTCCGAATCTATGTTCGCACTGCGGTACGTGCGGACGTTGATAATGTCGGAGAAGAATTTCCCGTCGATTAGAACGTGATCGATTTGGTTTTCTGTGTGTTGGTCAGGTGATCTCCAGGTGGCTTTGTGGATATCCTTGCGGGGGAAAAAGGTACTTCGAACTACCATACCCCGGGAGGCTGCAAAGTTCACGCATCGTTGGCCGTTGTCGTTCGATACGGCATGCAGGCTGTTTGGCCCGATTGCCGGTCTATACATTGCCTCCCGTCCTACCTGAGCGTTCATGTCGCCGATGACGATTTTGACGTCCCGTTGCGAACAGCCGTCGTACACCTGCTCCAGCTGCGCATAGAACGCTTCTTTCTCGTCGTCGGGTCTCCCTTCGTGTGGGCAGTGCACGTTGATGATGCTGTAGTTGAAGAAACGGCCCTTAATCCTCAACTTGCACATCCTCGCGTTGATCGGCTGCCAACCAATCACGCGTTGGTGCATCTTACCCAGCACTACAAAGCCGGTTCCCAGCTCGTTGGTGGTGCCACAGCTCTGGTAGAAAGTAGCCGCTCGATGCCCGCTTTTCCATACCTTTTGTCCCGTCCAGCAAAGTTCCTGCAGTGCTACGACTTCGAAGTTGCGTGGTTGAAGTTCGTCATAGATTAACCTATCGCAACCCGGGAAGCCGAGCGATTTGCAGTTCCATGTTCCGAGTTTCCAATCGTAGTCCTTATTTCGTCGCGTAGGTCTGTGCCGATTGTTCCGATCCGTATTTCTTTCTTCGGTATTTGCAACTTTGTTTTTTTCCAGGGCGGCTTGTTGGGCCTGCCCCAACCCCCTGTCTCGCCGGGGGACCATCGTGCACAGCTCTGTTTAGAGTCCCACGCTGGCACTAGGACGGTGATCAGCCGCTCCTAACATGGAGAACAGACGCCGTTTTGAGCCGCACCTCCATGGTGAGCAGACGCTCAGGTTTGGTGAAGCATTTCCTCTATCACCGTACTATGGTTACCGCGCCAGTGTTCGCGTCGCACCTCTTCACTTTGCTATTGCCGGACTGGCAACATTGCCCAGGCTACGCCAACCAGCTGTGTCCATGTTTCAGCTGGTAGTCTTTTGTTATCATATGACTCGAGGAGGCGTGAAGTAGGAACTTGTGAGGACCAGGGCTAGGTATTCCGCTCCTTCCAGGTTGTCAACTCACCATTTTGTAGCCCCCTCGATAAATCATTTTGAAATTAGCCTAAAATGAAAGGGCGACTCTAGACATTAATTTGGTGGAAGTTTCAGCGATATTGATCTTTTAAGATAATGTTTTTCATCTGAGATGCGTGTTACCACTGGAACGACTCACCCCAATTTATGTATCCACAAATCTGCATGTAAATCTTCACCAGTAAAAGAAATCACGTATATTCTAGCGCCGCGTAGTGAGAAAATTAGGTACTGTTGACCAACGAAAAAGTTTTGATCTCCTGGACAACTTTGCCGATGACAGTTTAGCAGGTCTCGAAATATATCTAATGCGAGAATTGCACATGTATACAAGCGCAATGATGTGGAAAAAAAATTCTGTCCACCAGCCAAAAGGCCTTGGCCCCCTGAACAACTTTGCTGAAAACAGTAACTTTCAATCTGCTCAGGATCTCGAGCTGTTGTATATGCGAGAATCGCATGTGTATACTAGCACCGAGTAGTGAGAAAATTCTGAACAACTGTCCACCAACGAAAAGATCTTGACTTCCTGAACAACTTTGCCAAATACATTCACTCTCTATCTTGTCAGGATTTAGTGATGTATCACATACGAGAACTTAACATGTATACGAGCACTACCTAGTGAGAAGATTCTGAACTACTGTTAACCAGCAAAACGGCTATGATCTCCTGAACAGCTTTGCCTAAGACAGTAACTTTCTATCTGGTCAGAATCTCGAGATATTTTATATGAGAATTTCACGTGTACACTAGCGCCGCTTAGTGGAAAAATTGTAAACTACCTCCACCAGCCAAAAATATTTGACCCCCTGAACAAGTTTGCCCAAGACAGTAACTTTCTATCTGCTCAGGATCTCGTGCTATTGTATATGCGAAAATTGCACGTATAACCTAGCGCCACCTAGTGAGAATTTTCTGAACTACTCAACCAACAAAAAGATCTTGACATCCTGAAAAACTTTGCCGAAGACAGTAACTTTTTATCTGGTAAGGATCTAGAGAATTTTACATGATACTAACGCCGCGAAGTGAGAAAACTCTGAACTACTGACCATCAACGAAAAGGCCTTGACCTTCTGAACAACTTTGCCCAAGACAGTAACTTTCTATCTGGTCAGAATCTCGAGATATTTTATATGAGAATTTCACGTGTATACTAGCGCCGCGTATTGAGAAAATTTTGAACTATTGTGCACCAAGAAATAGGCTTTGATCTCATCAACAACTTTGTCGACGACAGTAACTTTCTATCTGGTCATATATCACATGTATTCTAGCTTTACGCAGTGAGAAAATTCTGAAATACTCTCCACCAGCGAAAAGGTTATGATCTCTAAAACAACTTTGCCGAAAACAGCAACTTTCTATCTAGTCAGGATCTCGAGATTTTCCATGTTGTAACCAATTAAGTCATCCCACGCAGTACGGACACCGTTTACGCGGTTTGCATTCACATTTTCTCTATTATCCGCATTTTTGGGGGTTAACTGTGATCAAAGTTTAACTTGTTTAGATCAAAACAAGTTTTTTAAGGAATACCCGTTGGTTTCATATCGATTGGTAGCTCGGCTGCAAAATGGCAATGGAAAACTCACACTGTTGTACAAAGTACAACGCGCGAGTACTCGTATTACAAAAGTTGGCGCGAGTAACGGAGGGTTAATATGTGTACACATGAAAGCCATGTGTGACCAGACATACTATTCATTTGACACATAAATTTCATTTGTACTTCTGAGAGGATTCCATTTATGTGAAACGTGTTTATGTGAAAATGAACGTACAACTATAATGCCTAAGAACCAGATGACTGTCAGCCAGTGGCTCTCGACCGCTCCAGTTGCCAACCGCTTCCAAAAATGGGCTTTAGATTCTAGCAAACATTCTTGTCCCGTCCTCTGTAGACACGGTGGGACTGAGTTATAGCCTAAAATTAGCTTCTAGGAAAGTTTATCGAACAACGGTAGATAACAATCGGGAACGTAATTCGTCATGCATACCATAATTAATTAATAAGCTGCTATTACGATTAACGCATGAAAATGTGCCACGTTGTTGTTCAATCCATCAATTAGAACTATTTAAACCCGGACGGTAAGTATAACACTGGAACCGCTAATTTAATCAAAATGGATGTGAACGAAAATCAATCCAACGCTTTGTCCAAAAGCACCTCCCCGAAGCTATTTGCATGTCATATAGCGATTAGAACGAAAACTCTCGTGATCACATGACCAACTGTTGCTTTTTCAGCCCTGGTCCCTACAAATCGTTCACCAAAGCTTCATCGAGATGCATGTTCGCTGTTCTGTTTCGCTTATCGTAGTTTCCCATCTAATTAGAACTAATTGCATTGATTATATCGTTATTGACACCTCATTAGTTCGTGCTTCGTTGAGCTTTTTTCCTCATCTCATTAATATATCGTTCATTAGGAATTTCACAGCCAGGTTCGAAGAAATTAATCCTTTTATCTTGTCACTTACCTGCAATCATTCACAGTTGGATGCGATTGGGCTTCCTGGTGGATCCCCGTGGAAAGGTTCCCGTCAAAGTCGTAGCCAGAACATTCGCTTCCGGTGAGTGCTAAAATAACAATAGTTGGAGCAATAATTAGAGACTCATTATTACATTACAGGTAAAACGGAAAAGTTAGTCTATCAAATTCTCTCGGATCTCGGATTGCCCAGCGGAAAGAACGATGCCATCGAGAGGCCGGACTTTACGTTCGAAAAGTTCTACGAGCTGTACCACAAGATCTGCCCCAGGAACGACATTGAAGAGTTATTCCGGTCGATGTGAGTTTCTTTGTACTATATAGGTATGTTGGGGGGAAAACCATTCAACGATGATTCGAATATTTTTACAGCACCCAGGGCAAGAGCGATACCATCAACATGGAACAGTTCATCAATTTCCTCAACGAAAAGCAACGTGATCCTCGGTTGAACGAGATTCTCTACCCACTGTACGACGAAAAGCGAGCGCTCGAAATCATCAACACCTACGAGCAGGACGAGAAGGCCCGGGATACAAGTAAGTGTTCGACCACTACAGTAGATGTAAAAATGTGTAACCTACGTTTCATGACAATCTTCTGCAGAAACCCTCTCCAAGGACGGGCTGATTCGATATCTGATGTCGGATGAAAATGCACCAGTATTCCTCGATCGGTTGGACATCTACATGGACATGGATCAACCATTGTCTCACTACTACATCAACTCATCCCACAATACGTACCTGTCGGGTCGCCAGTTCGGTGGCAAGAGTTCCGTCGAGATGTACCGTCAGACACTGCTGGCAGGGTGCCGCTGCGTCGAGCTGGACTGCTGGGACGGCAAGGGCGAAGATGAAGAACCAATCATCACCCACGGAATGGCCATGTGTTCAGATATCCTATTCAAGGTGAGTCATCTTCATCGATCCGTCTTTGTAAAAGTGTCAGACTTAACCTTATTCTTCAACGCAGGACGTAATCTACGCCCTTCGTGATACGGCCTTCGTCACCTCGGACTACCCTGTGATCCTTTCGTTCGAAAATCACTGCTGTCGAGCGCAGCAATATAAGCTAGCAAAATACTGTGATGAAATCCTCGGTGATCTACTTCTGAAGGAGCCACTGCCCGACTTTCCGGTAATTAGATGACTTCGCAAATGAAGCTTTCCGACCGAAGCACTCTAACGAGCTCAATTGTTTGATTTTTTTTTTAGCTCGAACCAGGTGCAGTACTTCCGCCTCCATCTTACCTGAAGCGCAAGATTCTCATCAAAAACAAAAGACTAAAAGCGGAAGTGGAGAAACGGGAACTGGAACTCTTCCTGCAGGGTGAATTCGTGGCGGAGGATGATGTGAAGGAGGATGCCAGTGCAGTTCGGAAACCGGAAGGCGAAGAAGCCGCAGCCGTAGCAACGGTAGTTGTGTCGCCTGATGGAGGCGAGGAAGTTCCCGTCGTCCAATATACCGGTTCGACGACCAACGTACATCCCTGGCTATCGTCGATGGTCAACTACGCCCAGCCAATCAAGTTCCAATCGTTCGACTACGCCGACAAAAAGAATATCCACCATAACATGTCCTCGTTTGCCGAAACGACCGGAATGAATCTGCTGAAGCAGCAGGCCATCGACTTTGTCAACTACAACAAACGACAGATGTCCCGTATCTACCCCAAGGGAACCCGAGCCGATTCATCCAACTACATGCCCCAGGTGTTTTGGAATGCCGGCTGCCAGATGGTGTCTCTCAACTTTCAAACGTCTGATCTGCCGATGCAGTTGAACCAGGGTAAATTCGAATACAACAACAACTGCGGATATCTACTGAAACCGGATTTCATGCGGCGCTCCGATCGAAATTTCGACCCATTCGCCGATGCTCCGGTCGATGGTGTGATCGCTGCATCCTGCGCTGTACAAGTCATCGCCGGTCAGTTCTTGTCGGATAAGAAAGTCGGAACCTACGTCGAAGTCGATATGTACGGTCTACCCTCGGATACTGTGAGGAAAGAATTCCGAACCCGTCTAGTCCCGGCGAACGGTCTCAACCCGGTGTACAACGAAGAACCGTTCCTATTCCGTAAAGTGGTCTTGCCGGATCTAGCCGTGCTGCGATTCGGTGTGTACGACGAAAACGGTAAACTACTCGGACAACGAATCTTGCCCCTGGATGGCCTGCAGGGCGGCTACCGGCATATCTCCCTGCGTACGGATGCCAACTTCCCGATGTCGCTTCCTATGTTGTTCTGTAACATCGAACTGAAGATCTACGTTCCGGATGGATTCGAAGACTTCATGGATGCCCTCTCCGATCCACGAGCTTTCATGGGCGCTGCCAAGGAGCGGTCCGACAATATGAAAGCCATGGGCATTGAGGAATCCAGCTCAGGAGGGGCAGCGGATGCCGGCAAAGCTGCCAAGAAAGATGAATACCTGGAACCACCGATAGTATTCGATCCCATCACGGTCGAATCGCTACGACAAGAGAAAGGCTTCCAGAAAACGGCCAAGAAGCAACAGAAGGAGCTCGATAGCGTCAAGAAGAAGCATTCAAAGGAACGCATGGCTGTGCAGAAGCAGCAGAACGCTGCCATCGAAAGACTGATCAAGGGAAAGAGGTAATCTTCTCACCTTGATTTGACACAATCGATTTTAACTTCTAGCAATCTCATTTCAGTAAGGAGGAAATCAAGGCAGATCCAGCTATACGGAAAGTGATCCAGGAACAAAATGCCCAATGGAGCGAGATGATCGAACGTCACAAGAAGGAAGAGTGGGATCTCCTCAAGCAGCAGCTGGACGATCAGCGGGAAATTCTACGCAAGCTGATGGAAACAACTCAGGCGGCGCAGATGAAGCAACTGGAAGCGAAGCACGAGCGCGAAGTCAAGACGCTCAACAGTAACCAGGCGAAGATCTCCGTCGAAACGTCCAAGGAGGTGGCGAACGACAAGACCCTAAAGACCAAGGGTGAGAAGGATCGTCGGTTGCGTGAGAAGAAGCAGAACAACATCAAGCGGTTCATGGACGAGAAGAAGGTACGTTGCAAGCGAACCGTTAGCTTGAAGGAACTTGATCTTGAGTTGATTGAACTTTGTTTCCCTATTCACAGACGGCCGGCATCAAGCAAAACCGAGAGAAGGAGAAGCTGAAGGTGACGCACGACAAGCAACTGGAAGAGCTGAACAACGACGTTCAGAAGGTACAGAACGAATGCCGGGAGATTGTTACGCTAGAAACGGTGGTGTAGCGCTGTGCTCGCCTCAAAAATGCGCCTTAGTAAATAGTGCTCTGTGATTTACGGGAAACTGGATCAAGCGCGCCGGATATGCTGCAACCGTGTTTCTAAATTGCCAAGCTGATCTGTGTTATCGTACTAGTTTTCTTTTATGTTTTGATTTGTCTTTAGTAGAATTGTTAGGTTTCGTTTATCAGTAGTACCTAGGTAGTGCGCCGCCAGCCAAAGCAAATTATTTATTTCTCTTTTTTTGTTTCGTGAATAGACCCTATTTGATAAGTTCTCACGTGTACCTTACTCTCTAAGTTCGACTAGTTGTGTATATTTTGTTTTTTGTTAGTGTTTGTGTTAACATTGAGCGGAGCTGGACCGTCTTCTTTTCGCTGCGACCAAGTAAGCTGTTTGTTTTGATTTATTTTCTGTTGGATTTGTTTATTCTACTAATCTGTTTAACTTTTTTATGACTAACCAAGAAACCGTGAGAAATTGGTGACTAAATTTAGGAATAGGGAATAGACGACAAACAATTTGTTTTCGTGTTGGGTCATTAAGCCGAATTCTACTAAACCGTACACCCTAACGATGAATGCCATTCTTCTTCTTCCTAGTTTTGACACTCTTACACGAGCTTATGCCTGCTCTCAACTTAGTGTTCTTTGAAGCACTTTCGCAGTTATTTTGTGAGAACTTTCTATGCCAACCAATGGATTAATTTGAATATTTTGTGGCAAGCACAATGATACGCTATGTCTAGGGAAATCGCCTCCTACTTGGTAATGATTTCCCTTAACTGATAAGGCTGTTTGCGGTCCGAACCTAAGGGTGACTAGTCCGAAATGTGAATATCATATAACTTTACTCCTGTTTATGGTAGCCACGTGCTCCATTAGCATCCCGCATAAACAATAACCATAAGAAGTGCCTAACCACCAATTCGGGTACCCGTTTATAAGGGATATTTTTTTCCCAATTAACAATTCAGCAACCATTTGACATTCATTCTGATTTATGATGGCTTTATAACGGCAATGAACAATTCATTTAGTTTAAATACAGCATTTCAAAGTGTAAAACATTCCTGGCTAGTAATTTAGCTTTTTACTGTTTTAAAAACCTGCCGAGAAAGTTAAAAACTGTGTTGTTTTAAAAATAACTTTAAAGCAGCTTTCAAAGCCTCCATAAAACTGTTCCTACCTTTCGAACAACCGTCTGGCAGCCAACTATCCAATAGTGTTGACGGACGACTGCAGTCAGAAGGGACGATCCTGCATGAAAGTTGCGCAAATGCAGATCGCGCACTAGTAGTTCCGTAGCTCGATGATTTTGTGGAAGGGATGATTGGATGTTTTACGTCGTATAGCTGGGTTGAATCATGCAGACGACCGCCCAAACGTATCCAAAAAAGGATGCAATGCTGATAGGATATGTTTGGGTTGGAAAGACTTACCCTTCCGCAGCAGTTCCAAATCTTGGACGTACACCTCGTACTGGACAGTTTGCAAAAGTTGCATCTTGGATTTATGTAGCTCGTCTAGAGTAAGCTCACCAGCACGTCGCTCGCTAGTGCCACGCTTGAGCATTACGGATTCGATCAGCTGCTTCTCAACTTCATAGTTGCTTCTCTTCGTCGTCAGTGAGTACAACGTTTTGATCAGCTTGACCTCTGTGTAGATTTCGTTCCCAATCGGATTCGTCTTCCTTCAGCCACAACGCTCCTTGAAACCATAGCTGATTGTTGACAAGTTCATCTGCCGACAGTCCGCGCGATGCAACGTCTGTAGGTTTGTCCTTGCTAGAAACATGATTCCAGTAGCTTCGTGGCAGGTAATCCAACGTTGCAGATGTCCGGTTTGCTACATATGTCTTCCATCTCCGGGGAAAACGATGCTTGAATCTGTCCATGCCCAGTGTTCGATCTGCTGTTGTTGTAAGGCAATGTAATGACACTTGCTTGATTGGTGCCACACGAGATTTAGCAACAATGAGTACCACCGACACGTTGCCTTCCCTAATAAAAAATAACCATAAACGAACGATAACCCAAATCATTGAACTATTCCACAAATGGTTTGGATGATACCCAGAACACGTCGTTAAGCAAATTAACCATACAATTTTTATTAGGGTTGCTCATCGACTGTTCTCGCTTATTCCTGTTTGGAGGCGTCTGAAAAACCATGAAGCTGCACATTGTCCCGGCTTGGAAAGATGGATCGTGGAATTTGGATGGCCTCGAGTAGATGTAAATTGTGTTTCACTGTTTGCCATTCTTGCTCGCCGGATGACGGTAACGGATCATCCCAGGCGATGTCGAAAAGCCAGAGGTGTTGATAGAGAGATTTTGACTATTACAGGAGCCAACCAGCCGAACGGGTTAAATAATATGAACGAATCTGATAGCATTTGGCGCTTCGTGTTGACACCGTGCGGGCAGAAGCTAACCTTGAATCCATATTCATCACGAGACGGATACCACAGGATGCTCAATGGCTTAACTGCCTTATTGTCATCCGAAAGCTTCATGTGCCATTGGGCATTTTCTCTTGAAAATTTGGATAGAAGTAGTTTAGAGTGTATTGTTTACACTGTATTTTTATCGCTGTCATTTTTCGAAAGTTGGAAAAAATGACGTCACCCGAAAAGCAACGTCGCGAATTGATTTTGCGCAAGCACCTGGAAAATCCTCAACTCTCTCATCGGAACATCGGAAAACAACTCGGAATCGTGCAGTCAACGGTGAGTCGTTACTACGAAATTCTGAGCATCGAACGGAAGGAGAAAGGCAGTCAGAATGGATGTTCTATTAGTGAGTGTCCTGAAAACGTTTAAGCGGAATCCCAATGCTTCGGTCAGGGATGTGGTCAAAAATTTGAATCAGCCCAAGTCTTTCGTTCAGAGAGCCAAGGACCGGGAGGGACTGCATACTGCATACTAGAGTGATGCAAAATTTGAAATTTTCGCTCCACAATACTTAAACGATTCCAAATCGGATCCTGACTAACCTCTCAAAATTTTAACCCATTTGGTGAGAAACTGAGATGGCACAAACCATTTGAAGTTTGTATGGGAATTACTATGGTAAAACCGAGGGGGGCGACTCTATCTAAGATGCAGAAAAGATTGTGATTTGCTGTGGCTAGCTGCGTGCACGTTGAGTAGATAGAAAAGAGATTGATGACGATTCTGAAGATTTCCTGCAAAAAGATGATGCGCGATGCAAGTAGATGCGAGAAATGCAAGAAGATTTTTAGAAGATTTTTCGAAGATTGATTCGCTAGTGTGAGATTTTTTGAGCATCTTAAATAGAGATTTAGATGTGTCGCCCCCCTCGGGTAAAACCAAGATTTTTGTTCATGTCAATTCACTATATCGATCTGCTTAAAAAGCTTTCAACTGTACTTGTAGAAAACTTTCTCAGCTACAACTTTGCTGAAGACCACTTTTTTATTAAATGCAAGGATCGAAAGTTATCAATGGTTCAATGCGCTGATGTCTTATAATGATGCTCAATCAACTGCTCAGCAGGCAACATTGGTGTTTCTGTGGCATTGAATAGGACACAAAAATGATGGCTACTATGTCACACTGCAAAATACAGTGTTGCCTACAGAGCAGCTGCTTGATCATGTCATAAGTTTACCAATCTCTTAAATAATTAATAACTTTTTCTCGTCTCGTTTTACATAGAAACGATTTTAAGCAAAGTTATAGCTGAGAAAATTTTCTATAAGAATGGCTATCGAACTGTTTCGCAGCTCACACAGGAAAAAGACTAGAAGGCAATGAACAAAAAGTTGAGATTTCCCATAGTAATTTACATGTAAACTTCAAATGGCTTGTGCGAAGTCTGTTTCTAACCAAATGAGGCTAATCAGGACCCGATTTGAAACCATTTAAGCACTGTGGAGCGAAAAAGTCAAATTTTGCATCAGTCTACTGCATACGTACAAAGTGCAGAAGGCTCCAAATCGTAACGAACGGCAAAATACAGTGGGAAAGTCACGGGCCCGGAAACTGTACACCCAGATGCTGACGATGCCTCATTGCTTCACCATGGATGATGAAACTTACGTCAAGGCGGACTTCCGGCAGCTTCCGGGGCTACTGTTCTTCACCGCCCAGCACAAGTTAAGAAATACATGATTTGGCAAGCGATCTGCTCATGTGGTAAACAGAGTGCGCCGTTCGTGACTACCGGGACTGTAAACGGGGCAGATCTACCTCAAGGAGTATCTACAGAAGCGTCTGCCTTCACTGTTGAAGCAACACGAGGGCCCTACGATCTTCTGGCCGGATCTACCTTCGTGCAACTATTCAAATGTTCTCATGGAGTGGTACGAAGCCAACGGAGTCACTTTCGTACCCAAGGACATGAAGTTGAATGCAATAAATATGCCAAAAGCTTACTAATGGTACTTTGACTATATGTTTTAGTATTACTTCTACGTGAAGTCAACGATTTACATAGTTGAAGATGCTAATTTCAAATAACAGACTGTAGTGGTAATTTTTATGCGATAGATGGAGATGGAGTAGATGAAAGCATAGAGTTGATAGTTCCGTTAGAGTACGGCAGTGTGAAGATTGCATATAGATATTAGAATAGCGAGCTAGAACAACTTTTAAGGAAGGTACAAATCGGTTTTTTCATCTCTCTTTACCAAACTCCCCCTTTGGAGAGGGATGGTGAGGGATGTGTCCCCCCGCCACCACTGGCAAAAAGAGATGAAAACCGACCCGCTCAAGTACCAACTGTGTGTTTGAAACAGTTCTACCGATTTTACCGCACAACTACTTACTAATGGATTATATTTTATGGTCTGAAAGTTTGAAAAGAATCGGTCAACTAGGTAATTTTCTACAGCGTTTTCCGTGATGCAATTTGATGTTGGGCACCCTTTACGGGTTGTTCTTCGTCCGAAGGGTGGTTAGGTAGAAGATTCTTACAACTAGACGACCGCTTCCCCGAGCAAAGTCGGTTGGCAAAATGAAAACAAATCGATATTAAATTTTGCAGTTCCTATCATAATGAAAACTCATTTTGATTTCAATTGTCGCGACAGTAGTCTGATATCATGCTGTGCTTTCATTATGCAGTCAAGACTTTTTAAATGAAAGCAACTTAACTTGAAGTTTTGCTAACGTCTTGCTTAAAATTTAATTTAAGTTCATCTGTCTTTGAACTAACGAGTATTGTATATTTGTTTTGTTTGACACATTTTAGGTCATTCGTGACTTGACCGGAGTGAGATTTGAGCTCAAGTCTTTCAGCATGAAAAGCATGGATGCCAACCATTTACGTCAGGCCCGTATTCAGTTATACATTATGAATGCAAAATCAGCTATCAAATTGATTTCATTGAAAGCAGGATTAGTTTTCCGTTTAATTCAACAGTTCAAATGTTGCCCTGTGTTAACCGTTAAGTCAACTGGAGTATTCAAAATAAGTTACATCATAACAGCAAATTTTGATTTCAATTTGATCTCCAGCTTTGCTCGGGTCCTCAGTTAGAAACCAGCTGCAGATAAGATGTCGATCACCTGCTGCTTCAAGCGGTTTGCTTGTTCTTCGTCATCTGCTCCGGACAGGAAGTCGTCGATATTAAAGACTATCTTGATCCGCTCCATTGCTTCCGGATAAACAGTTTCGTACTACTTTGTTGCTTCTCTCATTTCCTCAATTGCCAAATACGAGGCAGTTTTCGTTCCGTACGTCACTGTACAAAGGCGATAGTGCTTCAACGGCTGATCTGATTCTTCTAGGAACATGATACGAAGATAGACACGGTCCGCTGGATGTGCCAGTACTTGGAGATAGAATTAAGCAACCTCCACACGGAAAGCCACTCGATGTGAACGGAACCGCAACGAAACTGTAAAGACATTCGGTCCAGCTAACAATCTGTCATTGAGCGAAGCTCCTGATGATGACGCACAATTTTGATTTCAATTGTTGTTGAACTGTCTACTTTGATTACCGCATGCTGCGGTAAGTAGTAGCACTCTCTGCGATCCTTGTTTACTTCGGCTGCTGGATCCTCTTCCATATGGCCGAGGTCGAAATATTCGCGCATGCAGTTGGTGTATTGATTCTTGAACTCCGGATCCAGATGAAAGCGCTTTTCCATACATGTAAATCGTTTCGTGGCGACAGTGAGAGAATTACCAAGCGCTGGCTTCCAATCATCAAGCGGTAGTCTGACGATGAAGCGTCCAGTTCCATCTCCTGCCAGTGTTGAACTGAAATACTCAGTAGCCAGCTTGAACCAGAAATCTTGAAACAATTATCAATTGGTGTTATTTTAAATAAGTTCTGAGCAACCTGGAATCTTTGAGATTATCTTGGAGATGTGATTTGAATTGATGGGCAGTTGCAGATCTTCAGTATGATACCTGTTCACACAGAAAATTTCTTGAGGATATTTTGGAGATCTATGATCACTTGGGAGGACTTTTGAATAATTTCTGAGAACTTGGTATCTCGAAAAAATCATGGAAGATATGATTTGAATAGTTGGGCAGTGAAATTTTAGAGATCTCTGATCACCTGAAGGTATTTGCAATAATTTCTGAGCAACCTGGTATGATCAGCGAATATCTAGGCGATGTGATTTGAATTGTTCGACAGTTGAAGATTTTCATAATGCTACCTGAAGGAATAATTTCTGAGCAACCTGGTATATTGAGAGGATATCTGGGCAGTGCTCTAAATTTTCGAAGCTCTAAAATGAACTCGTGTTTTGTTTCTTTCAAACAACGTGTTTAATGCATCTTTTATATAACGCGTAGCTAGACTATCAGCACGAAACGAAAATGAAAAAGAAGCACGATTAGAACGGATTGCTGGCTCTGGATTTTCTCGTCGTTGGTTTGCTCACCCCTTTCAATGAAAGTAACGTCGATTTTCGAGTTGAAACGAAACCTCATCATGGCTTTCAATCCCTTTCACCGACACTGTCACCTGCTCTGTTAATTTGTTTAATATGCGTTATGTCCCAATTCCGTTACTTTTTTTAAGATATATCCGGAGTGATCGCCGATTAATCTCGGGAATAAAAGCTCAATTTTGAAAACTAATAACACTATAAGGTAGAGGTATGATTTATCTATCATTTGGTATAGCTTGATTATAAGATTGAGCTTTTATTCACGAGAAATCGGCGATTGACCTGTTTGTTTACAAATACAATTACGCCCAAATCTCAAATCACTCCAGATATATGTGGATGGAAGATAAATTAAACATAAACATACGTCATGAAAACTCTGTTGGCGTATTTCATGAAAGACAAAACTATCAAAATCAAATGCTCTTTCACTCGTCCACTTCACCGAAGCTTGAAAGTAATACGCATGAAGCGACGGGAGAAAGAGAGACAAACGATTGGAAATTTGTTTGCAGACACCGACTGGTTCTATAGAATGCTGCGAAGCTGATCGACTTCAACAGAAAAAGAAAGCTAGCAGTCTCTTCATCGCATCGATTTTGTGATCGATTGAAGGTGATATTGTGACGCCTTGTATCTGGGAGACATGATTTGAATTGACGTGCAGTTTAAGATCTTCAGAATGATACTTGATCAAGCTGAAGTTATGAACTAATATTCAGAAGACTTTTTGGAGATCTATGATCACCTGGAGATCTTTGGATCAATTTTTGTGCAATTTGAAACAATAACTCGGACATGTGATTTGAATTGATGTTGGAGAGCTTCAGAACGATAGCTGGTCAAGTTGAAGTTTAAAACCATTATCTTAAGGATTTTTTGAAGATCTATGATCATCTGGAGGTCTTTTGAATAATTTGTGAGTAGCCTGATAGCTTGAGAGGATTTGTCCTGAACTCCTGACTGGAATTCCTTTTTCCTTTTCCCACACCCTAGCTTCCAACTACTCCGTCAAGTAATGCTCTTTTTCGCTATTGTGGCTATTTATCATCTTGCTTCTTTTACACAAGAATCACTTGCGTTTCAGTGCATCATAGAATATCTAATAGCAGAAAGAAAATATTGGCGGAATCTTTTTCGGGATGCTTATGAAATGCTATGTGCGAAATATGCCAGTATGCTTAATCCATTTAGCGTTTAGTAACGTAACAACACTAATGCCTACTAAACATGACGAAAATCATTTGAAAACTCTACTAACCAGTAATTATTTATTGAACCAACTCTATTCCACAGCTGATCGATATGTACAAGGTCGACGAGGAGGAGTACAAGATGTCCAGTAAGATGGAGTTCTATGCCTGAATGTTAGCCAACGGTTCGCCCCAGGCTGACCCAATAAAACAATCCAAATAAAAGTTACTGAAAAACCAACAGCAGAACTGAACCACTTTAAGTTTCTCGTATTACAACATACAAAACAAACAAACAAATGTATTGGAGAACATAGTAATAAAAAAGCAACAACAGCAACAACAACAACAGATCACAGATCGTAGATCAAAACATAAACCAGTGAAATGTATATGAGTACGAAAACCCCATATTTTAGAGGAACTCTATAAGACGTACTAAGCTCTACTATCAAGAAAAAAATGTATCATTTTGAGCGAAACAAGAACTAGGTGAACCAAAAAACAAATAAACTATTACTGTTAGTATTAAATGAAGCAAACAACTACACTTATCAAAGAGTAGCATCATTTTAGAAAAATGAAATGAAAATCAAAGTGAGATTAGTTGTTTCTTATTATCGTTATTTATGTTAGAACAAGGAAGGGGAAAAGTGATACCAACGATGGAGGAACGAGGGGCATTTTGTACTGTTGCGTTAGTAGGAACGGAAAGAGCAGGGGAGATTTTTTAGGTTGCCAACATGGAAAATTTATCTAACTAAGAAAGAGCGGGATCAAATGAATTTTTACGTCTATCATCAACATGTGAACGAAATACTACACTTAAACCAACACATACAAGTAGAAAACGGAGACTGTTCGTTAGCCATAGCAAGTACATTTACAGTTGATTGCCATATATTTTCCGCTAAGAGATTTTATGTTGACACAAATTGCTTCTATTACGAGCTTCTTATTGGTGTTGACCGTTTCCGTAAGTTCTAGTAGAAAGTCAATTAGGAAATTAGAAAAGCATCACACTAAAATTGCTTTGACTTCTGTTACACAAATTTGAACAAACAAAAACTAAGTAGAAATATGGCATCGGAAGAAGCGATTCTTTTGTCACATTTTCTGAAAGCAATCAAAACTGTTTTAAATTCTGCAAACAACCAAGTATTTTACTACCAATACAGCAGAGAAACTGAAAGAAAATAACAAATAACACTGATAACCCCACAATATATGAGAATAAACATACTGAAGTGTATATCATAATCATTTTTAAAATTACTGATTGAAAAAAAAACATATTAAAGAGAGTTATAAACAAAACCAAATTTTAAAACAAGTTAAAGAAGACGAAAGCAGACAAAATATTTAGATCTTATGGTAAGCAACAAAGAAAGGAAAAGTATTGTAATCGTAACCTCTTCCCTACGTCCCTCCAGAGAGCGTTCCTACCATCTTGAAAGTCTGTCGCATTCATCCCCACTAACCCCATAATGACCCATTCCTTCACATCATCAAATCAACACAGAAGAAAAAAAAATGTGAAATCGAACTGCTGTTCATAGAAGCAACCAGAAACGATAAATAAAAAAGAACTACAAGAATCATGAGTGCCTATAATACGAAAATCATCCCTTTATACTTTTTTATCGTAACAAAGAAAAATGCAAATTACACAATCATCTCGTCGAGTGTAATCAATGTCATCCCGATTGAAAAACTAATTCTTTTTTTCTTCTCGAAGAACTGCAAACTACATTAAACTGTGTACACAAATACAAAGACATTCAACGAAGTTTTCAACCCTGTCCAGATAATAAACACACACACACACACGCAAACACCATTGTTATGTATAACCATCTTTTTCAAAACAAAACAAAAAACACGTTTTCTAGTCGTTACATTTTAAGGAAACCAAAAAAAAGTAATAGAAACACGTTAACTGACTTCGCTCCCAAGAATATCAACAACAACAGCAACAACAACAACAAAAACAACAACAACAACAAACTTGTGAAATACCAAAATCAAGTATTATAATTTTCGTCAAGGAAGCGAGAATCTTACTGAAAACGAGAAACCAAACATGTGAAAAACAAGAATGAACCATTATTATTATTATTATCTAGAATGTTTAGGTAAGACCGGCAGTGTAGAACATTTGTTTTAGATACCATCTAATCAGGCCAAGGAAGCATTTAGTTATTGAATTAAAAAAAACAGGAAGGTCAGTTGAATTGCCACGAGTAAATTTTAAAACATGAATTTAGACAACAATAAAACAAAAACAAACAAAAAACAAGAAGCATAATAAAGAGCATCCATTAGCAAAAGGTGTTTGTGTGCATTGGTGATAGAATATCACAAAAGTCCAGAAACTCACATTGGCCGTTTTCTTCCAATGCACCGTGGGTCAAGAATGCAATCTTAAACTTGGTGTCTTTGGTGATTTTGTTGTTGTTGTTCTTTCCACCGGATGCAATCGTGTCTGTTTCAGTGGTTTTAGTGTAATAGTGTGTGGGTGTGAGTGTTAGTGTTTATAAAACAATTCTAATTTCACTCACCTTTTGTCTCCTTTGCTCGTTTCCTTTCCTTCTGGTTCATCGTCTGCTTGCTAATACCGTTTCATCTCTTGTTTTCACGTCTTTTTCTCTATTCATTTCACCTTTACTTCTTCTATCTTTTCATCATCTTCGTTTTTTTCCGTAGCCTTCGTCCGTTTATTACTATCCGCCATGTTTTCGGTTGTTTTTTGCAATTGCTGTTCCGCTTCGCTTCGTCTACAACCTCATAATCCTCTTATCTTCTTTTTTTGCTTCGCTTTGCCTTGAATCCGTGTCTTCTTCTTTCCTTCTCTAATAATTCTTCTGGTTCGCCTTCTTCATCCGAATCTTCGCCCTTTTTCATTCATTTTCGTACCGTAACATTTTCCATTAATCTTCTTCTGCTCGGTCTTCTTCTGGTTACTCTCCATCCTCTTCTCAGTTTCTGCATTTTCTTTTGCTCTCTTCTTCGTCAGCTTCCATCCCGTTGTCCTTTTCATCTTTCTCCGTCTTCTGAATCGCGTTTCTAGAGGCACATTTGAAATGGGCCTATGTCCAAAACATAAACAAACCAGAAAATTAATTTTAAATTTTTCCACCACTATTCAATTCATATTTAAGAAAATTGAAGTATTTTAGGCATTTATATTGTTCACAACAACAATAGTAACTGTATCTCAGTATAAAACATCCAAAATATGCGAAAAGCTTTAAAAAATATATAAAAATCGATAACAATTTAGATTCATAAATTAATAAGCCTTTTTGTGAATCTTCCAATGGATAGGCCCTTTTTGTTAAGTCGTTGTGCTTGTCATCAGAAATGGTACGCCCTTTGCTAAGCCTTTTCACAACGTCAAATAAATTCAAAACAAATCGACAGTGAGCATGCATAAGGGCGTAAACGCGATGATCGATTCTCTTTGTCGATTTTCTCTTTTGTTAATAACTCGCTAGAATTAACGTTTCTCGGTGCGTTTGATGTTGCTTTTGATAGCCAATACAACCTGTTACAACTCTGCATGGAACAAATTCTAGAAAATTGTTTGGTTTAGCTATAGCAATGCAAAGAGAAAATCGATGAAGAGAATCGATCTTCGCGTATACGCCCTTTTGCATGCTCACTGTCGAAATGATCGGCCCTGCCTCAAGCAGTAGGGCCTAGCTTTGGTTTGAAAATTTTCATTCATCGGCCCTTCTACGTCACTAGGCTTATCAATGAAATGAAATAAATGCATGGTTGGTCGTTTTAGCATGCAGGCCTATTAAGGTGATACTCTAAGGAAGCCTTAGCGTGAAACTTCAAAGCCACAAATGTCAGCTTCCACAAAACATACAAATTTGAAATTGTTACTCTCTGTTTGTAATAGCACAGCAAACAAGGAGTCAATACTTACTAATCGAAAATAACCGCATGGTGAATGGATTAGGGGACTGGTTGTATTTGCGAAGAGCCTTCGATCTCACACGCTTTAAGTGTCGTAATCGAGCATTAGACCATGCAGGTTTTGGAGCAGGTCTCATCAGAGGCACGCAATCTAATCGGCTCACAACTTCGTCGAAGTAGTTAACGGCATCATCAATGGACGAACACAATTCAAGCGACTGACAATCTACCTGGGCCAGTGAGTGATTCAATGTAAAGAAGTCAGTTATTCATAGGTGTCTTCATAGAGAACATGAGCTGATCGATTGATGAATTGATGGATCGGATGCCTCGGTGACACTGCACTCTAGTGCGGCGGCTTCGTTCGCTAGCACAATATCAAACAGCAGAGAGTTTTTGTTGGGTACAGAATTAATTTGCGTTAAACCATGCAGGCTGAAACCATCCAAAAGAGCACAGCAGGAAACAGGCATGTACGACCGAAGAAAGTCAATGGTTCGATGATCGTTCCCGGAAATAGTCCAAACAAGCCCAGACTGATAGTAGTCGCCAAATAGCTCGTTGATACTAGCTTAAATAACAGAATTTTTAATATAGATTAGTAAGATTAGCAATTCTATTGGTCATTTTTAATTTTTTATATATCAGATTTGGAATGGAGAATTTAGTGAACTTTTTCAATTTCCCAAAATCGAATTTTTACGAGGATCCAGTTGTCTTTTAGTTTTGTTGGGTGCATTTTGCCAGTTATACCAGTTATTGAAAAACTGATGGCAACCCAGAGTATAAGCATGTTGCAGGCTTTCGGACAGCTTCAATTTTACAAAAACAAAAGAACGTGTGGATGTTGTGACTAAATAACAATTAATAATTCACACCAAAATCATATTTAATTCAAACTCCTGACACGTTTGCGCTCCTTGTATAAACTGTTGCGTTGAACTGAAAATCAATGGCATTTCAATGTGATGACCGTTTGCCCAAACATTTACGAACAAAGAAATAATACTCACTGTACGGATCGAAACGAATCATCTCCAGCTTATCGGCTAGTCGTTCCCGAATCTTCATAAACTGATGTCCACTAACGGCACTCTCCATCAACACCAGAACATTCCTAAAAAAGGAATAAGAAATAACCCATAGTTTGTAAATTAAATGTAATGAGTCGCAAAATCGAGCTGCTACTGTATGAGCGAGTGAGCGATCAGCAGAGCGCACACACGAGATCCCAATGTATTATGAAACCAACCAATATTTGCCAGCTGAAACATTCAAACTGTGTAGATATTTCAATACCACTAGATCCACTTACTTGCTCTTGGCTTTCTTCAGAAGAATATTCGTGATGAACATTTTAAAACACCAGATTATTACGCAAAAATTCTTCCGCAGATCCGGTCTCGATGTTTACTTTTTGGTTTCGAACGAACGCTTGCGAATCTTCGCACAAACGCTTGCATTTTGACAGTTGACCTATTTGATGTGTGCGGTGTGAGGCTGGGACGTGTGAGGTGAGGGTGGGTAAACAATCACACGTTTTCTGAGTGGAAAGTCGCGGTTTTGTTACAATAAAATATCGTTTAATTTGGGATAATTTTGATAAAGTTATTAGTTAAGGTAAGTAAGGTAGTCTAGCGTCCCTGAACAGTTTTTCAGCTACATAACTTGATTTTCTTCCAGAAATGAGTGCCGTTCCGTCTATTTTCGACACTCCGTTAGTGCCGCAACCATTGTCACTTGCGGGATTGAAAAGAACGCCTCCGGTAAACGTCGAACCCGAGGCCAAACGCGGCAAGAAGAACAAAAAAGCGTCAACCGTGCCGAGTAAGAAAAAGCTGATCGACCAGTTGCTGCTAGAAGAACGGCGGGAACTGAGCCAGGACGAGTCCGGTGTTTCCGCAGAGCCCTCACCGAAGAAGGGGAAAAAGAAGGTAAGGGTTGTTTGAGTTTCCAGTGAACTCCCGGTTTCTGAATAGAATAGGAGGAAACCGGTTCTATAACATTTCGCGGCTTACCATGTATTGGTTGTCTATTTCGCGGTTTATACCATTTTGCGCTGTCTGTAGTTTGCTCAAACTAACATTTTTACTCAAACAGGAGCAGTTATTTCGATCTTTATTATTATTTATATATATATGCCGCTATATGCTATATACAAAATGGCTCATCGCTAAATGTTATAGAATCGAGGGGACCATTTTGGTTTGAGAGATCGGAGAGCACACTTAGCTTACAGACATACATAATACAACTGACAACACTTCCAGAACAATGCTGCCACTTCAAACAATACAAAAAGTTCCACCAAAGCCGAAAACTCAAAAACTAGCAAAAACGCAAAAAATAAACCCAACGCGACTTTCAAAATCAAACTTGTCGATACAAAATCGCACCGGGAAAAGCTACGGAAGAGTCTTGCCGGGCTCAATCGCTCGAAAAATGCTCACAACGACGATTCCCTGATTGAAATGTCCTTGAATGGTGACTTGCTGAAAAACAACTCCAATCACTCGACACCCGTTCGCAAGAATGCTAAGCCAGCGAAGAAAACAACCAAACAGGTGCCATTGCCAATTCAAGGCACTCCAGCGAAAGTGGTTGTAAAGCAGGAATCACAAACACCGAAAGTGAACGGCGTCTGCTTTGCCGAGGACAGCACGGAGATTGGTCGGGAAAAATTCACCTGGGTAATCCATCCGACCACTGTCGACGAATTTATGGCAAATTACTGGGAGAGCAAACCGTTGCTCATTCAACGCAAGGACCCGTCCTACTACAGAAATTTGGTTTCACGTGCAAAGATCGATGAGATGCTGCGAAAGCATAATATCGAATATACCAAAAACATTGATGTCACTTCGTATCGGGAGGGCCAGCGTGAAACACACAATCCCGACGGAAGGGTCTTGCCACCGGACATGTGGGCTTTCTACGAAGAAGGTTGCAGCATTCGAATGCTCAATCCACAAACCTACCTTCCGGGGGTGTACGAAATGAATGTGAAACTGCAGGAATTCTTCCATTGCATGACCGGTGCTAATTTCTATCTGACACCCCCCAATAGCCAAGGATTTGCCCCCCACTTCGACGACATCGAAGCATTCGTTCTTCAGGTTGAGGGTCGTAAGCACTGGAAACTATACAGTCCACGTGTACCGGCCGAAGTGTTAGCCCGGGTATCGTCTCCGAACTTCACTCAAGATGAAATCGGTAGTCCCATCTTGGATGTCATCTTGGAACCCGGTGATTTGCTCTACTTTCCTCGTGGAATCATCCATCAAGCCAGCACCGTACCTGGTCATAACTCGCTGCATATTACCATGAGCGTCTATCAGAAAAACTGCTGGGCTGATCTGCTGGAGGTCTTCTTTCCGCATGCTCTCGCTCAGGCCGCCGAAACACACTTTGATCTACGCCGAGGAATACCTCTGAATCTGCACCAGCATTTCGGTATTGTGAATTCCGATAACGAAACGCCCACACGAACGCAATTGATCGGCCATATCAAAGCCTTGGTGGATAAGGTGTTCAGCGAGGAGGCCATCGACAGTGCAGTGGATCAACTGGCCAAGCGTTTTCAGCATGACGCCCTTCCTCCGATGGTAACCGATAAAGAGCAATCGCGTACGGTTTACGCCGCAAACTTCAATCACAATGCGGACGGCACCGTCAGTCTACGGGTGCCGTTCACTGAAGATAGCACCGTCCGTCTACTGCGTCGGAATGTTCTCCGGCTGGTGAGCGAGGAGGATAAGCTTCGCATTTACTATCACACGGATAACTCCCGGGAGTACCATGAGTACGAGCCCAACTTCCTGGAAATCGATCAGGACGCTGCTATCGGGGTGGAGCTTCTGGTCAAGATATATCCGCAGGCCTTGCCGATCCGGGATTTGCCGGTGGATGATAAGGTGGAATTTGCTAAGAGCCTTTGGGAAAAAGGACTCATTGTGGTGAAAGCTAAGTGAAGCCGATGCCTATTGTATTTTTTTTTGCTGTTAATTGTATTTTTTTGGCTGTTAATTGTATAATATAAATTTGGATAGTTATTGAATGGTTAAAACAATGGAAAGAAATTCCCAATATGTGATCCATTTGAAGCGGATTCGGTTTTCAGCAGTTCCAGGCAAAATAATGCGTAATTGTTTAGTATGGGCAATGATTCACATTTTTGCTAAAATTCGGCCATTTTGGATCTTGTAAAATATTCAAAATGGCGTCTTTGATTTTTTTTCAAAAAATTGTAGCACGAAATGACGTCTGAGATAGAGTTGTCTAGAGAATGTCTTTCTGGGAAAAACAAACAAAGATCCAAAAGGCCGAATTAATTTTAGCCAATTATGCAAAGTTTCATGCAAATCGGAGAAGGTCGAGGTTTTCCGATTCGTCGTTTGACGTGCAACTGCTCTTTTAGCGTTTATTTGTTCGCTTTATTCCCGTTTTTAACAGAACATACAAACAACTTGAATCTATCCTCCTATGGTTATATTTGATCCTTCTTACCATTTCAAACTCTGACGAAAAGACAGACTAGGATCTTTTGATGCACTATCGATGTAATAAGTAGAATATATGTAGTAGATAGAGCTAGTGTGAAATAAAGAATGAGTAGAATCGAGTAAGCGTAAAGCGTGATAGACCGTATGTAAACGGTATCTCATTGGTTCGAGAATTTTGATAGGTTAGCAGGTATAAATATGCGGTACCTAAGCTCGTTGACGGCCAAAACATGATTAGTTCACATGAGGCTGCTGTTGCTGAAAATGCAGCCAACCTCCATTTGATTCCCAACAACTTACCCGAAGTTTCAGAGATTTCAGCTCACGAACTGTTGGCCTATATCAAATCTTCCAAAGCATGAAGGCCCTAGGTTTCCTTGAATCTAGAGCCCAAACATATGAGCTCTAGATTCTATGATTACCTGGCACTGATTTTCAATCAGTCCCTTAGACTTGGCTACTTCCCCTCATGTTGGAAGTTAGCTAAGGTCATACCTATCCGTAAATCTAGGAAGGATCCTTTCTCTCCCTCCAGCTACAGACCTATCAGTCTTCTCTCTGGGAATTTACCGGCGTCTTCTAACATCTGCCGACGAAAATAACATCTTACTCGAGGAGCAGTCTGGTTTTCGACATGGTCGGTCAACTTCTCACCAACTGACTCGAGTAAGTAATATTCTCAGGCGAAACCAGGCGGTATCTGAAACATCTGCCATGGCATTGTTGGACGTTGAAAAAGCTTTTGATAATGTCTGGCGTATAAATTACAACGATACGGTCTTCCAATCTTCCTCGTGAAGATCATCCGAAATTACTTCTCAGACAGGACATTCCAAGTCTCTCTCAATGGCATCATTTCTGATGCCTTCAACAGTGGTGCAGGCGTTCCGCAAGGAAGTATCCTTGGGCCCATTCTCTTCAACTTGTTCGACATTCCGGCTCTCCCAGATGGTGGATAGATTGGTGTTTGCAGTTGACACAGCCATCGTCTACAAGAGAAGGGTAATCGGAGCTCTTATTGCCAATCTTCAGAGAGGCTTGGATATCCTGTCTGAGTATTTCAACAATTGGAAGATCCGTAACAACGCGGCGAAGACCCAGGTCGTCTAATAAGATAATATGCTTAAACGGCTCAGTCCAAAGAGGTTGTGTACATCGGACTAACACTAGACAGCAAGCTTCTTTTCAGGGAGCACATTGAAAAAACTAACACCAAGTGCGCAACATCTTGATAAGATCACTGTATCCGCTTATCCCTGCAAAAAAAGCAGCTACCTGGTATTGAGTATGGTATGCCAATCTGGGAGAGTTGTTCCTAATAATCACCTTAAACTGCAAAGGATCCAGAACAAGATTCTTTGGATAATCCTAAACAGTCCACCGCGCACTCGAAATTCTGAGATCCACCTCCTGGCAGGAATTCAGACATTAGAAGAACGGAGAGTATTCATCTTGGAAAGGTTCAGAGACACCCTAGCACGTTAGGTTAAGTTATACTCGTATTTAGGTAGGTTATCACATTTTTAAATTCAAACAAAACACACCCCAAAGGGGTTGTTGCGATTGCAACGAAGGAGACAATTTTTCCGATTTTCTGAACGTTGTATTTCTAGTGATAACGTTAAAAAATTCCTAACGAATGAAAATTTAAATGTACAGTAGTATAAGTTTTTGTTTCTGTTGTACATAGTAATTTTAGATTATTCTTAGACGATAATTAGGTAAGTTTACTGGTTTGTGTATAAAGAGACTTACGTTTAGTGTCCCTTTTTGTGTTTAGTTGTTCGATCGGTGATGGGATCACTGCTTTCAATTTGCTTTGTGTCTGTTTTAAATATGCGTGAAAGTCCCGTAGATTCCCGAGTAGCAGCATCGCTGCAGTTGGATGTGTGGTGCGGCGCAACGAGTTGTTGCGACACTCCCCCCAGTACTTCGACGTCATTGGTCCGACGTACTCACGGTTGCACCGACGTCCAACACTGCGATTTTCACGGCTGGTCTCTCTAGAACTCCAGTCGCTGTCTGCACCAGAGCACGACGGACCTGTCCATCCTTGGACCGGATTGCATGGACCACCCGACCTTTCGGCCAGCAGTTCCTCGGCAGCGTTTCGTCCACGACGACGACAATGTCTCCCTCCCCGACTGGTTTGACGCGATGATACCACTTCGTCCTACGCGTGAGGGTTGGCAGATATTCAGTGACCCAGCGTCGCCAAAATCTGTTTGCGTAGACCTGCGACATCTTCCAGGTGTGCTTCAGCGTGTAGTTACAGTCATCGAATGCGATCGGGGGCTTTGAACCGTCTGATGACCCGAGCAAGAAATGATTCGGGGTAAGCGGTGAAGACAGCTCATCGTCTAGCGGTAATTCAGTTAACGGCCGAGAATTGACGATTAGTTCGATTTCGGCTAACATGTTCTTTAGTAGCTCATCAGTGGGTGTGCGTGTGAGTTGGAGGTGCTTCAGGGCCTTCTTGACAGATTGTACGAGGCGTTCCCAGGCTCCGCCGAAGTGTGGAGAAGCAGGTGGATTGAATGACCATTTGGTGTCAGTGGTAACAAAATGTTCCATCAGCTTGTCCTGGTTAACTTGCTGCAGCGTTTCCTTTAGTTCTCGACTGGCTCCGATGAAGTTGGTGCCGCGATCGCTAACTATTTCCAGAGGGGTACCTCTCCTGGCGATGAAGTTTCGGATGGCGAGGATGCACGAATCTGTTGTGAGGCTGTGGGCAACCTCGAGATGTATTGCTCGCACAGTGAGGCAGGTGATCAATACACCCCATCTTTTTTCGGTTCTCCGACCGATGACTACGGACATTGGACCGAAATAGTCGATACCGACATAGGAGAAGGGACGACAGAATGCTTTCAGACGCGTGGGGGGTAGAGCGGCCATTTCTGGGGCTATTGGCTTTGCCTGGCGATTCTTGCAGTGCTGACATTGTGATCGCACACGATTGTATGTCGATCGAAGCTGAGGTACGTAGAATCTACGTCTGATTTGGTTGAGCGTAGTCTGGTGGTTCATGTGACAGAACTGCTGGTGAATACTGGCTATAATAAGGTCTGTAACTGGATGACGCTTTGGCAACAGTATCGGGCGCTTCGTACACTCGTCCACACTTTCGCAAGCGTCTATGCGGCCCTTCATTCGTAGCAGTCCACTTTCATCCAGAAACGGACTAAGTCCATACAGTGGACTACTTCTAGATAATGCGTTCTTCCATGGCTCTGGATTTGGTTTCATCAACTGGGCTATTTCCGCGGTGAACTCAGCATTTTGCACTGACTTCAGAATCAACAGTTCCGCCACTCTCAGCTCCTCTTGAGTTAGCGGACCGCTGACAATAGGCTCCTTCGATAGTCTTTTGCGTAGATTCGATGGATATCGCTTTACGAAGGCCACATGGCGCAGCAAACGTTTCCATCTGGAAAAGTCTTCCCACCTGAACAGTGCACGTTCGACGGAGTGGTGTAGTACATGCGGACGCTTTTCTTCCGCGGTGCTATCGAATCTCGACATAGCAACTGGCCATTGCTCTCTCAATCCCCAGAGGAATTCAGGACCACGGTACCAACGACTTGCAGGCGAAAGATCCGGTAGCCTCTGCCATTTCGTGGCATCGTCAGCAACATTCAGCTTTGATGGGATCCAGTTCCATTCTTTTGGTTCTGTCAATTGCAACATCTCGCTTATTCTCACCGCTACGAATTGGCTATATTTGCGGTGATCTGAGTTCAGCCAGCAAAGAACGTCGCGTGAATCTGACCAAAAGAAACGTTCTGTAGGTTTCAGCTTTTGTGACTCTAGAATGTCGTTCGCCAAGCGGGCTCCGATTACGGCTGCCTGAAGTTCTAGTCTGGGAATTGACACGAATCGCAATGGAGCTACCCGTGTCTTCGCGCCGACGAGCGCACATTCCACTACGCCATCTTCTTCAAATCGCAGGTAGGCAACTGCAGCAAACCCGTTTTCAGATGCATCCACGAACACATGGAGCTGAATCACATTCCGTTCGCCTGTGCTCGTCTTCATCCGGTAACATCTAGGCACGCTGACAGTCTCCACTTGCGGAAGAACTCGTAACCACGTCTGCCATTTCTCCCACTGCTCGTTCTTGATAGGATCGTCCCAATTAACACCGCTACGCCAAATTTCCTGAAGTAGTATTTTCAGGAACATTAGGAAGTGCGCCAGTAGTCCCAGAGGGTCGTAGATCATCATCAGTGTACTTAGGATCTGCCTTTTTGTTGGTACGATGAGACCCTGAAGTAACTCGGCGTTAATCCTTGACGATAATTTGAAGGTAAAGGTATCGGTAGCAGTGCACCACCACAAGCCAAGGACTTTTTCCGTTCCCATCTCGCTCAGCATACTAAGGCTTTTCTCTCCTGGCATTGCTTCTAGTTCTCGCAGCACTCGACTTGAGTTCGACAACCAATTCCGTATTTCGAACCCTGCCTGTGCGTGAACAAACCGGACATCTTTC